TAATAATTATATAAATGTATAGTGTTATAAGATTTAAGCTATTTCATCTAAACATTTATATTTTTGTGTTCATTCTAGAAAGAAAGAGGCATAATTTATGTTTATTTCCTACTTTTTTATGGTGGTTGCGAGACTTTTCAAATCTACCAAACCCGTACAGAAATTAATCACTGAAAATAACAGATAAAATATAAAGTTTTTCTTAAGAAACATTTGATAACTATTCGGACATTATAAAGATTTTGCATGTGAAATTTCAAAATTTTCTGATGCATAAAAGTATTTCTAATCATAAAATGAAAATTACTTTGCACAATAGATACATAGATAAACATTGCTTTACAAACCTTAAGACTTAATAAAAAAAAATTAGATATTTTTGTATGAAAGCATTGTAATGTTTACTGATAAACTGCCAAATTTCATTAACATTTGCTTATTAATTTAAAAGTTATAGCATGAAATCTATAACAAGCACAAAATGGTTACAAGGTCGTCACATTGACCAGCCCCGTATTGAAAAGGGTAAATCATTAAGTAAAAAAATCACAAAAACCAACGTTTTTGCACTATGAAAGGTAAAATCTTTATTATTAGTTACAGCCTACTAATTTTGGTAACCCAATTATCATCATCAGGTCTAGTATCTATTTTTTACTCTTAATATAATAGCACATTGTATCTGAAAAGAAATTATAACATTAAGTTTTTCTAAAACACCTAATGGTTTTGTCATGGGACTGATATGTAATAGTTTGGCAGATTCCTACATAGTGTACGTCAAATAATAAACTACATGCTACCCAAACACACCTTCTGTCTTATGTTGTAGTTAGGATATCTGCACATACTTATGCTATTATAGAGGTATATGTCATTAGAACTCTTCTTCTTTTCATTGTCCATCCAGAGATACATTTATTTATTTAAATATGAATTTTTAGATTTCAAATGGCTCTTACCACTGGATGGATACATATTACTCATGCTACTAATTTTTTTAAACATATCAGTTAAGTGGTATGTCTTTTATCTGATAAAGTTTTGATAATGAACAGTAATTAGAAGTACTTTTGTTTTGTTGTATGTACAGAATACTCATAAAAACTGCCCTGAATGAGAGACTGTTGTACAGACTTTACAGATAATACATGTTCACATGTACACACTGGATGCAATTTTATTTTATTACAAACTTGTTGAAAAAAGAGGATTTCTGACACTGTTTCACAATCATAGCATATTGGTCAGACATACCCGTTTCTAAGATGCAGTATTATCAAGCTCTGTAATTGGCTGATGCACAATATGTTGCACATGACCAACCATTGAAATTATTTTGGATGTTGATTTTCTGCATTTCAAGTAGCCTAAAATGTCTCTCAAATCTGAAACTACTAATCTTCCCCATCTAGTTATACTCACCAAGACCTCATACAAGAGTATACTGGATGAACTATGTCACATATTTAAAGGGGTGTCGTAATGGTTTTAGCAAAGCAAAAAATATATAATAAACTTTCTAATCTTCTTCTTTCATTCCTCCTATTTTGGTAGAAAAACTTGGATTTATCTGAACCATATGCATTTATGCCAGGTTTTTGCTTCATTATTAAATTAATTTTTTTTCTAATAGATTATTTACATGGAAGTGAAGTCTTAATTAAAAACAGAATCACCATGGTAAAACAAAACATGTTTAATCTTCAGATATTTTATAATTTACACATTACATTATTGGGGATATAAAATGTTTTAATATGTAAATTTCAGAATGTTTGAAGATTTAAGATGTTGTTTTGTTTTACCTCAATTCTTTTTTTAAATTTTTCTTATTGTTCTTTTTTCACTGAATATAAATGTCTTTTTTTAGGTGCGAGAAAAGATGCTGTATGCATCAACTAAAGCAACCTTGAAAAAAGAGTTTGGAGGATCTTACATCAAATATGAACTTTTTGCTACTACCAAGGTAAATAAGTTGTTTTAAACTTCTTATAAAACAAATGTTATTGTCATAGTGGTTGTTCCGATTTTATAAACCATTAGATTATGGTCATACTGTCTGTTCTTATTTTACATTACTGTGCCCTATAATCCAAGTATTTTTGAAAGATGGACCTCCTTCTTCAGGGACAAAAATTTCAAAAGTGCTCAGGTTATAGGGTGTCGTATTTTTGTGTTAAATTGATTCCTTGAACCTACATATTTTCCTAAAACCATTCATTACTGTCATAACATTTATTCCTGTTTTATAGAATGACACATTATTTTTTGTAATGTTTGTTCTTACAGAACTTTGACTTGAAAGAGAATATTATTAAGGTTTTAATAGTTACGATCTCAAGGTACTTCAACTTTAATGACCCTTAGCAACCTTTTTTTTGTGTTTGTAACACTACAGTTCTTTACATTTTCAAGATATGGGCTTTTGTTATTGCTTGTAAATGAATATATCCTTCAGACATGCTTACAGATGTAGCATATGTGTTGTGAAGTTTTTCTCTTTTTGTGTGTCAGTCAGTATAGGAATAGTGGCAGCAGCAATTTCAGTGATGAAATAAGTCTTTCTGAAATAACTATACATGTCTAGAGTCCTGTTACTTTGGACCAACCTTATGTGTTTGTTAACATGGACAAGCCAAAGTGAAAATTTTTCTTTTGGTTGTTATCTTGTAATTTAGATTTTTTTTCATAAGTATCTTTAACAAAGAAACATTGCTGAACTGAACTTTTGCTATTAGAAATTACTAAAGCAAATTTTATAAAGCCCATGTCAGTTGTTCCCAACATGTGTACCCCCATGGGTGCATGGAGAACTTTTTGGGGGTGCGCGACAACCTTTGAAAAGCAGTAAATAATATATAGACCCCATGCCTCAGAATTGGAGGTTAGTGTCTGTAAATTACCAATAGTAATCCATTAGCCAGCACTCGTCCACAGATTGTTGACTCACCCTTAAATTATTACTTTTGATTTACCTTTTCATTGATATAAACACTCTTAAACTTGTCTTAACAAATTATGTAAGTCAAGGGTACGCTGCTGGTTCAAAGTCGTGATAGGGGATATGCAGCATAAAAAAGGCTGGGAATTGCTTGCCTGTGGGATTGAGTAAAAAAATCAGCATTCTGTTGATAGTACTGCTGAAATGTTGGCAAACTGTTACCACAGAAGTGTACTCCACACTGGGCCATGAGTGCGCCATAAGAGTGATTGTGAAACCCTACTATTTACTCAGACGAGTTTGCTGTGGGTGCTGTTTATTAGCTGTCTTCTCTGTAATCTATCACTTCAACATGACGAATGACCATGCACAAGTAGTCCTTATGTAGCTTTGCTTGAAATTCTAAAAGAAGGTATTGCTGAAAGAATTTTTTTCAGAGCATGACTCTCATAGTCTTCTTAGAAGAAAAATTCTGAAGTTGATTGGATAAAGAATTTAAAAACTGACTATTAATAATCCTTGATAACCATTAATTAAGAAATGTAAAACTTTATGTGTCTAACATACCCACAGGAGGACGCAAGTCTCCATGGCTATCACAAATATCTACGAGCTGAAAAAGGTCCAGCACCTCTAACACCTGCAGAAGAAGAACTTCAGTCAATAAAACGAAATGAGGTGTGTGTAATATTTTTGGCAGCTGAATTAAGTCTCATATACATTTGTTTTAGATTAAGTTTGTTTTCTGTTAGTAAATTTCAGTGTTATGAATATTGTAATGTGTAATGTCAAAGTTTCTTCTATATGAAACTGAAATATTCGGGTGTCAATAATAATTCTCAATCTGGCTGGAAAATGTTTGTTTTGTGTAATTAATGTTATAATACCGAAATAATGTACTGAAAAGTGAAAATCACATGTTCTAAAGCTCCCAAGTAATTTAGGTTTCTTGGTAAGGAAAGGAAAAATGTTTTTAAGTTTTGATTTGTGGCATAACAGCTTTATTTTCCATTTTGTGATGGAAAATATAATTACCAGGATATAGAAAAAATTAGGCTCATCACCGTGTTATGTGGACACAAAAGCATATTTAATGATGTCTTTATTTATTGAAACCCTACTGATAGGAATTAATAATGTTCTTCAGTCATAAGTGTTTCTGTAATTCAAATTTTATCCTATAATGTGTTTGTACATGTAGATATTTTTCATTTTCGAGTTGAAAAGATCTTGTGTTGCACTTGCTTTTAGTACATCTTAATATTAGTGATTAGTGGAAGTATTGATTCATTAGTCATCTGAAGAATCTTCTTTGTGATTGTTTACTGTTTCATTTAATACATTATCCTTTTGAATAAGAACTTTAAAATCACAAGAAAATGTAAACCCAAAGTTTATAGCCAGGCAAATTTAACTATATGTGTATTTGCCATTCAAAATAAATTAATTGCATAATATAAGGAATTATGTTCTATAATATGGTTTCTTTTAATTTTTTTAAGCATTAATGTTTGTAGATTTCTGTGTTATAAGCAAAAACCAGTTACATTTGATAGTTGTTTTTGGACATCTCTGTGTCATGCCATATGTAATGGACTATTTTATAAATACCATTAGAGCACAAACAAATAAAATGTTTAGTTTAAACCAAAACAGATATTTCAGTAGAAGATTATTAAGGCTAAGTTACTTCAGTTGCAATATATATAAAAGATAACATAAAATGTAAAATTTTTTTGGTGCTTATGAGATAGATAGACTAGCTAATCAGTGCATCATTCAGTATCTTAATATACTTGTTGATCATTACATTATTCAGTAGTTTGATAGACATGCTGATTATTACATTGTTCATTAGCTTGATAAGCTCGCTGATCATTACATTGTTCATTAGCTTTATAGACTTGCTGATCATTGCATTATTCATTAGCTTGATAAGCTCGCTGATCATTACATTGTTCATTAGCTTGATAACCTCGCTGATCATTACATTGTTCATTAGCTTTATAGACTTGCTGATCATTACATTGTCCTGTAGCTTAATAGACGTACTGATCATGATATTTTTAAATATGATTTGTTAGGAATTTCTGTAATGAACCCATTTTGACTTGAAGTATTCAGTATAAGCATAATTTTCAAGAAAATTCACCAAAAAATACAAATGTAAAACTACAATACACCATTAAGATCTTTAGATTATTGGCTTTTTATTTTTTAAATTATTATTCTGCTGTTGATCATAAGAAAATGGCATAATTACATGTAAATACTTTTAAATATATTATTTTTAACTCCACACACCAAAAAAATTTACCTTTTTTTTTTTATGAAGAAAACTAAAGCAATAGTCCCTTGTAATTGATACCAGGATTTTTGATAACTTTACAATAGGATTTAATCAGTAATTTAAAAAAAAATCAAACATTTAAAATTTTGTTACAGAAAAGGTTGTAAAGTTTTGTAAATTAATTAGTAATGCTGCTTATTTACATTCCTGCATACTGTTTTAAGAAGTCTTTCATAAATTCATATCTTATGAAAGCTGAAGTTGATCTTACTATATTGCAGTCTGGAGTTGGTATTGGAATTGACACCAAACATCAGACATTACAAGGGGTTGCTTTCCCTACTTCTGATGATGCAGCTAGTGCTTTGTTTGATATGAAAGAAGGACTAGTTAACTATGTACAGCTGGTGAGTTGTTTTTTTTGTGTGCTTTTTTGTATATTTCAAGTTATTTTTTTTCACAAGATTTTCGTCATGCAAGGAGAAATTTGTGCCAGTTTTTGTATAGAAAAAGCATAATTTATTACATTTTTTTTTTTCAGAAAATGATTTGCTTTGTAGTTTGATCCCTTGGTGGGTCAGCATTAAAATTCAGGGGCTGATTTTCCCACAGTGGACAGAGTCCAGGTAGCCTATTAAGTAGTTTTGCACTAAGAAAAAAAAAAGATGCTTTGAAGTCTTAAGATAATTATAGTGACTTGTTTACTTTTAGTAATTAAAAATTGATAAACTGCAACTGTTATTTTTTTAAGAAGAGAAGAATTATTTCAATATATATATTGACACACACATTGAATGTATTAACCCTTTTTCAGAATGGGTGCCCCTTTAAACACTTTTCTGTGCAAGTCACTGTGTTACATTCAAATTTTAATTAAACACCTTTACTATCATTGTATGTGAATGATATTAACATTATAATGTATGTTATGATTCAAAGTCTTATGTTATCTAGGTTTGAAGTCATTTATTAAAAAAACCTTTAAAACTTACTGAAAATTTCAGATGTATTGTCATGTGACCAACAAGCTATGAAAGTTCTCTACTTTGGCTCTCTGTATCTTCAATAATACAATGGTAGTTGTGTAGATGTACATCTAGACTCTAAGATACTTACATAACCTTTTGACTTGTACATTTCAAAGTTCTCTGAATCAATACAGTTGAAACAAGTAATATATTTTTTCAACCCCTGACAGGTGCCACATCCACCTTCAACAGATATGTTTGAGCTTTTTAGCCAACATGTAGATGTTACATACACATGTCTATTGTCATTAGAAATAGTTCATTTTAGACTATAATCTAACAATGGTTATTTTTGCGCAGTTGATGTCATGTACTACATATAACTGATTGCAGCATTGTTGGCTGCTTGATTTACAATAGCACTTACAGTTGTTTCTTACCTAAATATTTTATAGTTATAAAGATACAGTTTAAATTGTATAATTGAAATGTTTAAACATACTTTGCATCAGTTCTCAAGGCTTTCAATATTACATGGTGTATGAAAATTTTGCCGAGGGGGTTGTGCATGTCTGCCAGAGACACTGTAATATGCTTCAAGGGCACCATTGACATGTGTCAAGATGAATAATAAGTGGTTAAGTGCAAGAAAGAAAAATAAATAAAACATTAAAAATTAACTACATGTGAAAAGGAAAAGACATGAAATTACAAATTTAACAAAAGAAAAATCTTTAAAGATATCTTACAAAAAATTAAAAAGTATGTATTTTTTTGTTTCTTAATTTTAATTATTTAATTACATTATACATTGATGATAATAGCTAGAGCTAGTTATATGGTAGAGAAAATGAAAAATAAAATATAAAAATTTACCTTAAAAATACTTTTGACATCCATGAAATATGAAAACTATAAGACAAAGAAAAGTATTTTTGTAATTAAAATGAAAATCACCTTGTACACAATTTGTTAAGAGTTTGAGTGCAAGTAATTACAATAGAAAAATAAAATATTTTTAGTAAGAACACTTAATTGTAAGAATATCTTACAATTTTTTATTATCTTTAACAAAATCTTACCAGTTTTTGAGAGTGTACCTTAAGAAGTCTCAGAGTTACTGCATATATTGAAAGTTGCGACTCAGTATTTGCTAATTACACGAGTCCAACGTGAAAGGTTTAAAGAATATCATACTAACAATTTTCTCCTTGGAATTGCCAACATTGTGCTAAAGTTATGATATTAAATTATGTTTTTGTTGTGAATTATTAATATTACCTAATACAGTTTTAGATATATATATCTTTGTGTATTCATGACAACAGAAATCTGTTTGATAACTATATTAAACATTTGGTGCTAAAATATTATATATTTTGAAGTAGTTGTGTAGTACTAAGTATGAAATACACCATTTTGATAGTGGTCTCTTTTTATTTTATTTAGTAATTGTTCTTAATATTGTTTGTAACTTTACAATATTTCAATTACTGAAATGGGACATTTTCATGTATATATTGCAGGATATGTAATGAACAGATGGCTTAGAATGGCTGCAAAATGACAACTCACACTTTATGCCTTTGTGTTGTTTGAATTGAACTGTTGCATGACAATGTGTATAAAATCAAATATAGTGACTGTGCTGAAACGTGACTGTTGGAAGGGAACTAGATACTACCAAGTACTATATGTAGAGTACTTGTGTAAAACATACTCTTGTCCTGCTTTTTTAATCATAATAATCCTATTTTACTCCTGCTTTTTCGTCATAGCCATCCTACTTTTCTTGTTGTAATTTTACACCATCCCTTAAGAACAACAAGCTTGACTTGTCAAAACTAGTCAGGTTTTTTGTTTTGTTAATTCTGAGATATTTTCTATATTACTATGCTGATGTAATATTACTATTTATTTATATAAATAATGTAGCTGATTAAATATACTTATGTAATTAGGAGTATGCATTGATTCATCAGTTTGGTATTCAAGCTGCTACTGATATTTTAATAGTAACATGACATCCATTATTTTAGAGTATTGATCTAGACAAAGAAGAAATCAACCTTGAAATCAAAGATCAGACAGATGTGCAACAGCTGGCTGGAAAGATGCCAGCTGATCATGCTCGTTACCATCTGTTTGTTTTTCCTCATTCACATGAAGGAGACTTTCTTCAGAGTGTAGGTAAGGTCACATGAAACTTGAATTGTGAACTTACTGTTTTTAATGAAGTGCGATATAGATATTTTTAACCCATTCACTGTGGCTAGGATGTATATTTCCCAGTGTGAGGGGGTAGGAGCACTGGGAAATATACGTCCAAGCTGCAGTGAAAGGGTTAAGGAATTTCTGTTATCATAGCTCATGAATATAAGCTTGAACAATTCTAGTATTTGAAAAACAAACTATTCACAATTAGAATACTGTATTATAGTAACTTACTAAACTTTATTCCTTAGGAGTGAAGGTAGTGCAATTCATGTCTGTGATTACATTAATTTCAAATATTATTATAAACATCCAAGTCTTGAATATAACATATTACAGTTATTATGAAATAAATGTTTAACAGAACATTTTTTATGAAGAAATATTTTTTATAAAATGTTATTATAATTGTTACACAATGGGAGCATTATAAACAAATAAAAAATGTCATGCTAAAATTTTTCTGGTAAGTTTTTGGCTCACTGCATTATTTTAAGATTTATGTAAAAATTAAAATGTTTCTTGTTAGTGAAGTTCAATACATAAGTGTAATGAACAAAAATTATGTAATTTGCACGTACACACACACACACATATAAACACACACAGTTAATAGGTTAATACTGTCAGATTCTTATTTTTGATATATGTCTAAAAGCTTGAAGAGTTTGGTTTGACTTCCTTAGCAGTATACTCATTCATCCATCAAAATATTGGGTAGACAATGTTAAATAACATATTGACTGTTAATGTAATCATTGTCTACCTGGTAAGTGGAAAATGATAGTTAATGATATAAGAATTCCTGATTATTCTTCCACTGCAGCTTATTTAGTACTTGTATAGTTCGTATTTCTTAGCCTCTATTTGCAGTATTATATTGAGTTTTCATTTTCAGTATTCATCTACTCAATGCCAGGCTACAACTGCTCCGTTAAAGAAAGAATGTTGTATTCAAGCTGTAAAAACCCACTCTTAGAATTTATAGAAGACAAAGTTGGAATTTGCATAGCAAAGAAGGTAATTAAGCTAATGCACATAAGAAAAGGAACTAAACAAAGAGATGGCAGTAGGTACTGTAAGAATTAATAATGTTACATTGTTATTTCATAAGTATGGATACCGCATCAGTTATTCAGTTGAACATCCATTGCTGTTGTTAGTTTATTTTGATTTAGTGATTGTTTTTAATTATTACTTGTGTTATCTTATTCTAAACAAAAAAACCACTTGTTTGATTGAAGATCATTTTTACAATTTTTCATGTAATGCAGTCTGATTTCAACACACAGATTTTAATCATCAGAGTACATGAATCTCTTCAATTCTGACATGATCACTCACCTCTGTACACAGATAGCTATTGTCCTTTTGAAGTCGCACTATCTGCTTGAGAGTCTTGCATGCCACCAGCTTTGTGAAAACTCCCACCTAAAATTCATGTGAAAACCTGTGAACTTACACTACTGTATGATGACATATTGTGCAGCTAAAACCTCCACCAATAGGAATGTGACATACCACCTTGCACAAGTCCTCCCTCTACATTTCCATGCAAAAATCTTCATTCTTTTCTTCAGCACAGTCATGTCAATATGTGTTCATATTTGTTGAGATTTGAGATTTTTTCTCGACTATCAAATTTCAATTTGAGTGAGTTTAACATGCTCATTATGGTTTCACGAATCAATGTGAACTCTTATCTCAACTAATGTGGGTGAAGAGATTCCTCACACAGTACAGTTTACCACCATTTCTGCTGAAGTTCTTTATCTACGGAAGATGTGATGGCCATGTTGCATTGTGTGGCAGTATCCTTATGCAGCTTGCTTTCATCCCTTTTACTCCTTTCCCTCAGATTTAACTTTGCTCCTGTTGTTTTATATACCTCGTCCTTTCTGCCTTACCAGGTAACATGTAGAAGATACTGTTTAGATATAGCCAGACTGTACCCACTCCTTAGACTATCATGGAAAAAGCTTGTACCAAAGTTGTGCATCTGCCTTTTTGTCTGGATAGAGCTTGCCAGCTTTTAAATATAGGGTTTCAGTAAAAGCCCTTTCTGGACAGAGAGACCGATGTGGATCTGGACACATTCTCCAGGTTTCACCTATGAAAATTCTCTCAGATTATATTTTTTATCAAGAACAAATGTATTAATCAATCATCTTATTTGTAGGATAACATAGAAATATTTCCTTTATTAGATCTCTTCTAATGTGGAGAACTAGCTCACAAAGTATTATAAGACAGATGTTAATTTAATTACGCATCTAGTTAGTGTGTAATAGTTTCTTGTGTATTTCAAAATAACTTCAGCTTACCCAAAAAATTATAAGAGTTGGTACTATTTAATATTTTTAATTATACTATTATCTGTTTGAGCTTACTGTAGTGTTTGTTTTATAATAACTAAATTTTAAAAATTAAGAATGTTAGAAATTTTGTTTCATGAATTTATTTTTTATCTGTATTTCTGGACAGTTGGAAATTGATGATCCTAAAGAAATCACTGAAGGGTTTTTATATGATGAGATACATCCCAAAAAGAACATCTACAGACAAAAGTTTGCTAAGCCTAAAGGTCCAGGAAACCGTGGAGCTCGGCGGTTAATTCGTTCTAAGAATGATGATGTAAATCAAGAAGATTCATCATAAGTTTCTAAAAAAGTGCACTTAAAATCAAAGGATGTTTATATAATTGTTCAATGTACAGTAAGATTATCACTAAAAAAATGTGAGGTTAAAAGGTGTAATTTTTATGAAGTAGTTTCAATTTACTTACTGTTACTTTCATGTAATGGTGCATTTAATTATTGTTACTTTATGCAAAATTTTTACGTGTTTTCAAAATTCAAGCAATAATGGTACATGGAGCAATTGAAGAAATTAGTAATAATGAAGTTATATATGTATAACGGTGAATTTACATACATATATGCATGTCTTTAGAGACAGGGCTTTATTATATTATCTTGGAAAGAGCATAAAGTAACTGAAATGTTAATAAACTGTATGTTTGATATGTGATAAAGCTTTTTCTGGTTTGGTAAAAATAGCCATTGGTGATATGTAGAATCACATGTTTGGATGGTTTAGGGTGAAACAGGTTTAATTTGTGAGATGAAGTTATTTCAGTATTCATGAGTCCAATTTGTAGTTCACTTATTTTTATAATGTTAGAAATCTTCCTTGTCAGATTAAACGTTTAATAAAATATATACTATACATGAACACATTTCATGTTAGGAGAATAATACGAAACATTTGTGTAATAATTTAGAATTCTTTGTTATTATTTCATAATATTTGGATGTGTATCTGTTTGTATTCTCTTATGCATAAAATATGTACTTGCAGAACTACATAGATGCTTATCATTCTCTATAGCTCCAAGTTTGTGGGGGGTGACAAAACAAAAGGTGAAATGTAAGTGAATATGTAAAAGTAAGGCTTTACAGTGTATTGAAACAATGAATATGTAAAAAATTTTGTCTATAATAGAGAAGTCACTTCATCGTCTCAAAAAAAAGTTTTTTAAGTACATGTTTCTCATAATTTGAACTTAAACTCTTTAAACACTTTTCTACACAGACAGATATACCAATTGCAGAACATTGTAAATGAATTCCTTTGCAGTTTACAGCATCTGGTATAATTCTAATGTCCCTGTATTGTATTGTGTGATTTCAAGTTTATTATGATTCACTGGTTTTTGTGTTGATTTATTTACCTGTTAACTGCATAAATGCTTATTTCTCTTCTTGTTTTGTATTTGTGTATGTAGACACAAACACATTTACTAATATACATGTAGATGAATAGCTTGACAACTATAAAAAGTCTTACTCCTTAACCTTATAAGAATGGTGTTGGTGTATTGCACCAACCCCTATTTCTGTGAGGATAGACATAGCAATGTTTACTATAGTTTTGAATTGACTACATGTATAAAAGCAGGTTTTTACACAAGAAATTGGATTTTTTAGTGAAGTACTTCTAGTAAATATTTATTTGTGAATTTATAGAGTCAGTCTGATCAAGCTGTAACTAGTTTCAGTGCAAGTTGATTTCATGTTAAAAATAAAAATACTTTTTTCATCTTACAGTTTTCATATTTCATTTGCATAATCTGTAGAACCTCTTAATGAATATGAAAAGTTTTCTTTCAGTAAATATTTATAATTTATCTATCATTTTCTTTACCCTACCACTAACTGTAGCAAAATCAGCAAAGAATTGTAAAATGAAAAAATAGAAAAAATACTAAATAAATCTAAATTACTCTCTTTTTTTTTCTTCTTTCCAGAATGACTGAATATTATAACAGACAATTACACACTATTTATTTTTGTGGCCAAAACTAATAGGCTTTTCATATCTAGGTTCATTTAGTTTTATTGCTGTCCATTTGCTTTTAGACTTTTAGATTATGCTAAAACCCTTTATCAAAGCAGGAAAACTTTGGGTAAACAAAAGATTGACTTACAAACATATATGGTCAAATTACAAACACATTTTGTGATGTGCATGTGCTATCAATAATAATTTTCTTCTTTTATGTTTTATTATTTAATCTAACAAGTTTCTGATTTCTACATACAAAATACACATAAAGAACAAGAAATTTAATACTTATGTCTGGACCCTTGTCTGGAAGATCAAAGAATTGTATCCCTACTTTATTTTTGTAATGATGTTGGTGTACCACAAAATTTTGTTGATTTAGAATATTTCAAATACAAAATAGTATCACACGTAAAAATAGTATGTTCTAAAACCACTATCTTTTAAAGTATTTGTAACTAGGTTATAATTAGGATAAAATATTCTATTAACTGGTCAAGCCAAGCTCCACAAAGAAAGGGAATGAAATTTGTGCTAGATGTTTCAAAACATGTCATATGAACAATCTAGCATCATAAAGAATTCAGTAAAGTAGAATCTTCTCTTCCTATTGATTATAAACAATCGATAGCAATTATCAGGGAAAGTTATTGACATTTTTTGAAAGACGGGATGATGTAGGAAGGACGTTATGTCTAGGTTTGACTTTCCTGTTTATATCTTGGTAAAGCAAGAAGCTTGGAGGCTATAAATTTACATTATGGGTTAGTTATATCTACATTAATTATATCTACAAAGTGTAATTTGTGCCAAACTCGGAAGATCATATAGGGGTAGAAAGAATGGGTAATTCACAGCAAAGAAGTGTCATGTTAAAGAGAAATAAGATTGAGAATTTACTTAAATATTTCCTTTTGATATTAAGAAATGAAAGCTTGTAATAAAATTTTAATTACAAACTATGTTTTAATGCCAAGTTTATTGAAATAAATTGATAAATGAGGTTGGTTAATAAAATTTTGAATGTAGCTCTGTGAAAAGGTTGTGACGTGTACACTTTAATCCCCCCCCCCCCTCACAGTACAAATAGGGTTAAAAGATAATTTTTCTAATCCACTTGATGTATTTTGTATTCTCCTTAGCTGTTATGTCCAAGTTATTTATGGCACAATATCTTAAAGTACTGTTTGAAGTATAATATCTGCCAAGTTGACATAAATAATTAAATAATATCTGCTATCCCAATTGGTTCTGCTAGAGAAATGATATGATATTTTGATCATTGAGTTTTTTTTTTTTTATGTTGAACTATACATTTATATGGATATTTATACATATTCCATATGTAAACAATTGCCTTCTTTCTTAATATGTTGAATGTTTTCAAGATGTTCAAGGTTTGTAATTGTTAGGCCTCACAATGAGAAGAGATTGTAGACAAAAAAAATTTTTCCTACTGTTAAGCTAGTATGGGTTGTTCAGCACTAGGCTGTTTGGTTTATAATAGCCCCATATTAAACAGCAGATGATGTTTTGTATGGCTTCTCTCTCTGGTCAGCATTTCTGAACCCTTAGAGGGGTCTATGACTTGTCCATTTAGCCAACTTGTGTCACATAAAGTGTTGATTGGGTTTAAAATACCGGTGCTGTTTAAAAATTCAAATTGTAATGAACTGGTACACTTTTAATTTTTTCAGACATTTCATTGGAAAACATGTTTAATATGTAATATTGGATCCAATAGAAAGTCTGTATCTTAGCTAAGTTTTGAAATATATTAAAATCTATAAATATTACAAAATCTTTAATGTAAAATTTTGCAAATAAAAGTGTTTAATTAATGATTGGTTAAAAACATAAGGGAGATGGTATTAAATATTTGTTATGTTTAAATATTAAAAGAAATAATGTTGATTTTTTTAACATTTGACACTGAAATTGTGATGATTTCCTCCAGTTTGTAAAGGTTATTTTATAATAGTACATTTTTATATGTAACATAAAACCTTATTTTTAGATTGAGATATACTTCATTATCGGGTTAAAAGTATCCTCATTTATGTATAGACATAAATAACCTATTGTTAATTACATTTAATTGAAACTAATGCTTGTTGTGCTATGAATTACCTCAGTTTGCTGCTGTTTATTTTCTTTAGTCTTGAATTACTGAGCTAAAATTTCTTTTGCTAAAAGTAATGTAATGTCAAAAAATAATTATATGAATGTTAATCATATGTATATTGTCCTTCCTTGTTTTCTTATGTAGCAAAAGTGTTGAGTCATTCACTTCAGTTATAAAGAACAAAGGAAGTGTAATTAAATATTAACTTTTTAAGTCAAAACTAAATACTTCACAAAAGAACCACATTGTTACCATAAAAAGTAAGAGTAAGTGATGTAGAAGAAGTGAATTATGTATATCATTCCAAAACCCATTGATAATGTATATCTTTTTTTAGAGAAGTACTGGTGTGTTTCAATGAAGTTTGTAGAATCTACTAGGCTGTGTGAACTGGTTTAATTTATTGAAATACTTTGTTGTATATGTAGTAAATGAATACACAAACGTTTGTTGATAATAACCAAAAAATTTTATAACAATTCAACTAATTATTGTGACTCTATTTTTTAAAAAAGATTTAAGTATTCTGAAATATATTTCCATCTTTGTTGCACAATCAAGATAAGTGTGTAGAAAATTAACAGAGAAGACTAATACAGTAAAGTATTATATAGTCACAAACATTCCATTCTCAATGATGTGATACCTAGTAACTATATAAAGTATTACTGAGTTTAATATTCTTTGTCATTTAGTTTTCTAAGCTGTTTTTCAAATAATTGTAGGTAAGATTTCATTAAAGTTCTATACTTATTACATGTAGTTAATGGTCTTGGACTGTTTTGTTTTAATGAAGATTTGTTTTCTGATTATTAAGAAGTATAAAATATTTACATAATTTCTCCAACATTTTTTGTGTTTTACAAAATAATAGTGTCAAAAACAGGTTTCAATGTTTCTGAAATTTTTGCTTAGAAATAATCGGTCTGAAACAACTTTTTTGTTCACATTATAGGTCATTGCATTTCTGTAATGAAGAGTCATGATATAGCATTCACAGAAGAAGTTGTAAATAAATTCAATTCTTAGTCTTGGAATGCCATATTAAATATAGACTTTCATAAGTCATCACCAGGAACCACCATTGATTAGATGTGGAAAATTTTTAAAGATAAGTTTTGAAATATTCAAGGTAAACATATTCCTTATAGAAAGAAAAGGGTAGCTGCAAGTAAAAAACAGGGTTGGCTCACAGAGAGTATAAAAGATAAAATTAAAGAAAAGCATAATAAATTTATGAAATTTAAATTGACTGGCATGATGGGAAATTTAGAAGATCAAGAAAGTTGGTGAAACAGGAAATTAAGATATCAAAAAGGATGTTTGAGAAAAGGTTGCCTGAAAATGTAAAGATTAACAGTAAGGATTTCTTTAAGCACATTAAGGGTAAACAAAATGTAAGGATGGTGGTAGGATCCTTGAGAGATGATAAAGGAAGGCTTATATCTGATTATGAGATGACTGAGTTATTAAATTTTGCTTTATCTTTAGTATTTACTAATGAAGATTTAAGCAGTATTCCACTGCAGTGTCCTTGTTTGACATTGTAGTGCATCCTCTTGTAGGACCCCATGGTGGGGTCAGTGGGCACTAAATCTTTCTCCTTTCATTATGGATCTCCCAAATCCTCAAAAAAAAGTAAAAAAACGGCTAATTGGTAAACGACCATGTCTTGAAGACCAGCAATCTTCAACCCATTCTGAACCTGTACCTCATTTTTTTAATCTTGCTTTCCTTATCAGACAAACCTTTAGAACCAATGTCTCCTTTTCTATTCAGAAGGGATTAGAGGGGCTTGCTGGCTTTCCAAAGTCAGTTAACAAACTACGTTCTGGGGACATCTTGGTGGAAACATCTACACCAAAACACAGTGAACTCCTCCTGAACTCAGAGGCCATTGGGATATACCCGTTGAGGTTACTCTCCATACTACTTTGAATTTCTTACAAGGAGTT